CATTTCAATTATTGTATTTAGGTATAAAATAAAATTATTGATCTACTTTGTAATACAGTAAAAAGAAATATGACATGTATATAGCTTTCTAAACATACTAATGTAATTATTACAAGTAGATGAAATGCCTTTTACAATAATTGTAAACTGCTTGTATAAATAATCTAAGTATGATATACATTAATATACCTTTTGTATAAATTATAAGGCAACAATAGTAATTATTACATTATTATATTATAAGTATAACTCTTTCTTTAAGATTATAATTTAAATATAATACAAGCATAACACTTTAGGTTGTTATATAAAGTTAGTATAATACATGTAATAGATTTTTATTCATCCCTAGTACTTATGTAGTCTTTATATACATTAATATGTCTTATTTAAACATTGCAATTCAATTACAAGCCTTATAATTACTTTATAATGTATATACAATACATATGTTACTTTATAAAGTCTATAAGAAATTACAAGAAATCTGACTTTTTCCTGATGGCTGACTCACGTTGCTGACGGTTCCTGTCCTTGTTGTCCTTGTTGCCTCACGTTAGCAGTAAATGAGCTTCTTCCATGTACATTACCGGTTCTCCGCCAACTTACTTTTTCGCTTCATAATCTGTTTCAAACTAAGCGCTGCTTGTCAACCACCTGGTTGAACAGTGCCAGTCGTTTAGCGCGTTCTCTCACAGCCTTTTCTCTGGCGTTGTCCATCAAGAAACCGATTATGAAATATGATGAAGACAACCCGTTGGTATCTCCAGACGGAGGAATATTTTCAAGTGCTATAGAGTATGCATATGGGGTGGCTGATACGTGAATTTCAGTGAGCGGTCTTCCAGTGTACATACCTCTGACATTACCTCCATATGGCCTCCAAACGCATGATGGTAGCGGGGCTGGACAACTCGAAAGATACGGACATGGAATATCAGATAGATCATCTAATCGCTGTGTTTAGTGTAAATCCCTCTTGATCTTACTTTGTTCAGGAAACGTACTAGAGGACCTCCAACTACTGTTCAATTTTATGTGGACTCCATGTCCACCCACAATGGCCCGAATCTGCACCAACTGTTTCAACAGGATTTTGATCAGGCACGCCGAAGACACTAACCAAACAACCTGACCGTTTAAGATTGACGAAGCTCCATTCGGTGTTTGCATTCAAGGCTACGATTCAAGTGAAATTGTTCTGTCTCAAATGCTCCTCCAAAAGTGTTGCGTGAGCATCGAGTCGAGGCAAGTCGGAGCGCTCAGCTCTTAGTCACCATAAAAGGAAGAAGAAGAGCACAGTCAGCCGAGCACAGCACACACACGTAGTGTTGACTTAATCAGGAAAGATAAAGCATCAGGATGGAGGCCCAGCCTACCGAGAATTTGTGTATATACATGTTGTTGGCTCGTTCGGTGATGGATCGCTTGATTCGTCAAGCACGAACAATCCGGGGTGATGTGATTGCCGATTCGCGTTAACGTCTGTTCTCGTCGCGGGTATATCACTGGCATCTACTGGACTCATGCCGCAAACGCCCCCGTTTCATTCCACGATGAACGCCATACCACTTGACCACAACGGGGTAGAATTGTCTTATTCTGATAGTGGTGCCCCGGCCCAAATCCCTTACATCACCATTGTCGCCGTGCATGGCATGGGATTCACGCATGGTGTGTCAGCCTGTGTTACTGCACTTCTTCGGGCTGATGGTGATCTGGCACAGCAATTTTTAAGAAAGTACAAGCCATCGCATCCAAGGCGAACGTTCGATTCGTTGCGGTTGTGAGACGTGGATACAAAGGATCTAGTCCATTTTCCGGTGCAGAAATTGCTGCCCAAACCGGTGGGACGGACGAGGAGAAACTGGACTTCCTTAATGCGCGGGGCATCGAGCTCGCCATATTTGTCGACAAACTCATCCGGCAATTGGATGTTCCTCCGATAACTGGAGATGGAAAGAGCGGAGGAGTTGCCCTTCTCGGATGGTCTGCTGGCACCATGTTGACCCTTGCTTCCATCGCCAACCTGGACAAGCTCTCTCCTGAGTTAAAGACCCGTTTTGCTGCCTATATCCGTGCCCACATCATGGAAGGTCAGTCGCTTGTAGTACTTGTTTTGGGGTATCGAGTTAATGATCCCGGTCAGAACCTCCGTCTGCATGCCTTGGGCTGCCGATCCCGCCCCAAATATGGTTCTCGCTCGTCGATCCGAGTATCCCTGAAAACGAGCGAACCCCATTTTACACCAGCTGGGTCACGTCTTACTTCGATCACGGTGACCTGACCAGTCACGATATGAACGCTGTCAGTTATGCTGCACCTAGTTTACGCCGCGCTCCCTCAATTTATAACATGTCGGAGGAAGACGTCAAAAAAATACTTGTCCCAGAGGTGATATTGCACGAGTTTGGCAGTATTGGTGCAACCTTCACTCAGAATATTGTGATTTATCGCAAAGCATGTTATGATCCTACTGTCGGAGAGTTGTTGCCAAGGATGAAAACCTCGGTCTTGGCTGGTGACTCTACCGTGGCGTTCAGCATGAATGGCTTGTTGTCCCTGCAAGATGAAAACAATGAAAGAAAGGGGGATATTCATTTTGAAGTCGCTCCCGGTTTAAATCATTTTGTGAGTTTGGACGTAACACTGCCTCTAGATTCTGATGCTCATCCTCTACACTTCCTAGATGCAATGGGATGAACCGGAGAAGACATTCCAATTGTACATGAAATTGGCTTTGCTCTAGTGTGTTGGACAATCACATGTCACTAAATTTTCATTTCCGGGATCGACACAGACTGGCCTAATAAGACAATCGGGACACCAGATGATCTCATCGTAAGCATTTTCTCTGTCGCCACTGGCCTGGAAGACTACCACATCGCAGAAGGCTATTGCCATGTAAGTGTATGTCAAGTACTCGAATTATATATTTTCATGAATTTTCAACTCTGCAAAATATCTTCCTTACTTTCTAACTGTTAATTGCATTCGACGTTAAAGTTTGTAGTTGTTTGTTTGCTGAAATCGGCTATTTAGCATTCTTAATGGTAGCTGATATTGTCTATCAAAAGCCTTTACTAAGTAGCTACGTTATGGTATGATTTTCTATTTTATGGTCAAACCATTACTACCAACCCAATTCCGAACCAGTAAGTTTCATTAGGATTAGTTTGCTACAGAATTAGTAGCCGCATAGTCCTTTTGCCAGGCCAGGATTAGATTCCATGATGGTGTACAATAACATATTAGTTCTCTCCTCTTATTTCTTACCCATTCACCCGTGTATTCTTCTGATATTGTGTATATGTCGTGAGTCGCCTTCAAATCCGGGACCGGGAAGAAATCAGAATACTTTGACTCCAAATGCGAGCGTATGGATCTGTGGAGGGTTGCCACTGCAAAGCTCGTCGTGCTACTCTCGTAACGAGCAAACTAACCCATACGGAGACCAATTCTCCCTTCGGGATGGCCCGCCATAGAATTCAATACTATCCAGTTCCACCATAATTTGCTTATCAAAATTCAAATTTTTGCGGTCAGTACTAGTGATCGGAATATCCTTATTAAGAAGTAGCAAAATTTCGTTTACTTGCCACGTGTTACTACACTGCCTTCCATCCGCTTCAGTTTCCACACTGCGTTAAAAGCTTTGATGCATTTCTGCCTACGGACTGCGTAGTTTAATGGAGAAACGTGGGCTCGTTCCGTATGAGTTTTCCCGTTCTCCCACAGATATCGCCTGAAATAGCTCATTCCAATGTCCTGAGTGCTGTCCGCCAACCGGCTTTCGAAAGACGAAGGTAAAAACCGACAACATTAAGTCTGAAAGGACACTGTCCCCGGATCAAGGGATTCTTTCTAGTGCCATAGAGTATGCATACAGCGTTGTCCATTGCTCTGGGCAACTGGGAGTTATTTCGGTGAGCGCTCTTCCTGTATCCAAATATATATATAGTACTCCGTTAATAATCCATACGGCCCTTAAAGGCATGGTGCTAGTGAAACTGAACACATCGAAAAATATGGACGCGAAACATCGGATAGATCCAATCGCCGTTTGTAATGTACGTCTCACCTGCGAAGGGGCTTTTCATGGCTACTAATGGTTTCCTTTCTGATGGCCTGTGTCTTTACCGACCGTTTCATGCATACTTTCATTGGTCATATCTTAGGCAGTAGCCAAACGGTTCATCCGTTTAATTGGTGAGCTGCATTCCGCAGCATTCGGTGTTCGCAGCCGGCTGTAATAAAATTTCTAGGTCCCAACACGAGTGTTTCACTAAGTCTGTTGTACGGGTGTTGTACCAAGGTGAGTAAGAGCGCTAATGTTGCTCAATGCTCAAACATAATGTCTAAAACTCAAGCAGTACATGTTGGAGACATTTGTCTTGCCTAATCGAGTCAAAGATTCGTTGTCGATCGAATCGATGGGCAGGTTGTTCAACCGTTGTTGGATGGATGGACACGAGCGGTGGCGTGATCGCCGATATTACGTTAGCATCCGCGCCTGTATATCACGAGCATAATCTAGACATTTACCCTTCTATCCCACAATGAGCGCGATTACAGTCGACCACAATGGGGTCGAATTGTCTTATTCTGATAGCGGTGCCCCAGCCCAACTCCCTTATATTACCTTTGTTGCAGTACATGGACTGGGATTCACGAATGGTGTGTCAGCCTGGGTTGCCGGATTTCTCTCCCAAGCTGATAGAGATCCGGCTAGCTGTTTTCAAGAAAGTACAAGCTATCGCATCGAAATCTAACGTTCGATTTATTGCGATCGTGCGACGTGGATATGAAGGTTCTACCCCGCTTTCTGAAGCTGAGACCGCTGCTACAATGACCGGGACGGACGATGAAAAATTGGACTTCCTTAATGCACGAGGCATCGAGCTCGCAATTTTTATCAACAAGCTCATCCAGCAACTAGGTCTTCCACCAATAACCGAGGATGGAAAGAGCGGAGGACTTGCTCTTCTCGGATGGTCTGCAGGCAACATGTTGACCCTTGCTTCCATCGCCAATCTAGACAAACTCTCTTCTGAAGTGACGGCCCGACTTGCAGCTTATGTCCGAGCCCATATTATGGAAGGTAAGCAGTCCGTGTTTCTTGTTGATATTGTGTTCAAGACAGTACGGTCAGAGCCTCCGCCCATGTGCCTCGGTCTGCCAATCCCACCCCAAACCTGGTCTCCACTCTTTAACACATTAATCCCTGAACCTGAGCGAACGTCATTCTATATGAGCTGGGTCACGTCTTATTTCGATAATGGTGATCTATCGAGTCGCGATATCAACGCTATCCTTTATGCTGCCCCTAGCCCACGCCGGCCTCCTTCAATTTACAATATGTCAGCAGAAGCGAAAGCACTCATTGTTACGGATGTGGTTGTACCAGAGATCAACAGTATATTTGCTACCTTTCTTCAGAATAACGTGATTTATTGTAAAGCGTGCCACGATGCCTCTATCAAGTCTCTGTTGCCGAGGATGAAAACGTCGGTCTTGTGCGGGGACTTGACCGTATCATTCGGCACGAGTGGTCTGTTAGCACTGCAAGATGAAAACGACAAAACCCAAGGGGGTATGCATTTTGAAGTCGCTCCTGGCCTAAATCACTTTGTAAGTTGGAGACTTGTCTTCACACTCTGATATTCACTTTCTGCTACACTCGTAGATGCAATGGGATGAACCAGTGAAGACATTCGAATTGTACATGAAATTGGCCTTGCTTTAGTTGTTTGGATATGCCCATGCCACAAGACCTCCTTCCTTCGTTTCCTGGGTTAGATTGGTGGCGGCAAAGCAAAAGCTGGCGACGAACGCTCGTGATTTCCAGCGCATCAATCCATTGTCATCCGACTGTCTTATACATGCCCGAAATGACCCCAATAGCACGCCATCATTCCATTTGTAAAACTCATGTGATCGTCTTTTGTATTCAGAATGTTGCACAAGTGATTCACGTCCTATACGGTTGCAGAGCTTGTGTCATTTTCCTGCTGACATTTCAACATTATCTGCTTTGAAATAGCTATTATATTTACATTCGTGAAACCTGACGCCAACTGATGTTGCCTATCAAAGGGTTCTACGAGTAATTAACACATTTTTCTGCTTTTGGAGCAGAAGCTAGGACTCAGAATACTTAAAATAGGCAAATTATATTATTTTTCTGCAGTATACCACGGTATAGTCAGGTATCTTCCTAGACCTAGAAGAGGTTATAAATACTTACTGAGGATCGCTACATACTATACCCAGCTGTACGACTGCAACTGTAACAGTAACACAGGCTCGGTTGGGTTTCTACAAGTAATGTGTAACGAAGACTAGTTGTACTTGTATCATGGTGTTACAAAATAAAAATTCGTTGCATAACAGAAGACTCGCAAGCTGATTCTTTGGTTTTTCATCCCGAAGTCGTGCATTGTGGGAAGAAATATTGTAACGCCTGCCATGACCACTATGTCGCACGACATATCTTCGGAAAAGATCAAACGCTCATCAGCGAATCGTCCTCCGACCTAAACTCTTCAACTCCATATTGCACGGCGATCCTGACGCTCCCGCCGCCCTCTTCAGACTCGCTACATTCTCTTCACTCGACACTAAGTTCGTTCTAGGACTAAGGAGACTGCGGTGGCCAATGGTATTACTACCAATTCCTCCTCGCAATACAGAAGAAACGGATAAAAAGCGAGAAGTATGACGGGACGTGGTATTGGGACTTTTGGATAAAGGAGTGGTGGATGTCAGATGAGTCGTTTCGGTTGATGCGGACTGTGGATATGATTACGTGTTTAAGACGCATATTTGGGGATGGCCGCCGTCGAGCGTACAGTTTTAATTTTTAAATTGAATACCGGGTCTTTTGTTGTTAATTGTTATGATGGACATCTACAGTGCAACACAGTATCTTTCCCATATGTTCCAACTACTATGATTTATTTTCAAATGCCGCACTGAAATCATTATGCGGGCGATACACACAGTAAATACGTATATAACAATTGCTTCGAATTTATAAATCTTCTGGGAGGAATCATTCCCGTAGCAGTTGCTGCAGATGGGAAAGATGTTAGATGATGATGGAGAGGAAGTACAAATACTTAAAACATGAAACGTATACAGTTATAGCACTACCTATTGTCTCTGACATATACTACAAGTGCATACATACTCCGTCACGCATAATCTTCGTCCAGTCCTTCCCATGAGGAACCTTCGTCCAGTCAATGTACATGACCCTTCTATCCTTGTTGTTCGGAATGTGGATTTGGCCTATATGGCATACACTGCGTCGATGTTTTGGGGGGACCCACAGAAACGGGCTACCGTCCAGTGTCTGAAGCCAGCCATCATCCAGGATAGTTGAAGGATTGGCAGTAAGTACAATGAAAAGCCTATAACAGTTTCTGGCAACCGTTAAGAAACATTGTGCTTCAGGATCCCATCGACTTTCACCGAGGAACATTGTCTTGATATATGTGCCATTGTGTGCATCCCAAATACGTATCGTCCCGTCCCAGGATCCAGAAGCTATTCTATTTCCGTCTGGAGAGTATGTGACGGATACGACCCGGCTCTCGTGACCGCTGAGAGGCTCACCGATCGATTCTCCAGTGTAAGCGTCCAAGATTCGCAGCGTCGTGTCACAAGACCCATAGACGAGTCTGCTCCCGTCCGGAGAATATGCAACATAAATCTCACTGCCATGACCCTCGAGAGATTTACCAATAGGTCTGCCTCTTCGTGTGTCCCAGATCCTTAGTGTCCTGTCCTCAGAGCACGACACGATCCTCGTCCCGTCGGGAGAATAAGCAACGCTGCTGACCGAGCTATTGTGACCCTCGAGTGGTGCACCGATGGGTTCGCCGCTTTGTGCATCCCAGATCAGTAGAGTGCTATCGACAGAGCCCGACACAATCCTGCTCCCGTCTGGAGCGTATGCAACGGCCCAAATCCCACCCTTGTGTCCCCCGAGAGGCTCACCGACTTGTGTGCCGCTCTGCGCGTCCCAAATTTGCAGTGTCTCGTTATAAGAACCAGACACGATTCTGGTCCCATCGGGTGAATATGCAAGGGTACTGATCCAGCTTTTTTGACCGTCACAAGATTCAAAAAGAAATGCACCAGTGAGAGCATCCCATGTGCGCAATTTTCCATCGTCTGAGCCAGAAGCTATCCTGCTCCCATCGGGTGAATAGGCTAGCCCAAATTCCAGGCACGTGACATGCGAACGGCTCTGTCCGCTTTTAGCATCCCATATCCGCAACATGCCATCATATGTCGAGGAGATGACTGCACCTCCATCTGGTGTGTATCTGGCTTCCCGTATATGTCTTGTATCTCCTTTGAGAAGTGAAATGTCGGCGTCACGCAGCAAAGTGTGGTTGGGGTTATGTGAGGGGGACATGTGCTTGGGAGGTTTGTCGTCCGACAAGGGTGACTTCCATTCATAGAAAGCGGTGGTCTCATGTTGCACTATGGAGCAGTCTGGCAGTACCCATGCCAATGCAGAGACGTACAAGTGAGACACGCTGACAGCAGTTACGTTGTGACGGGCAGAGATGAAGCTATGCAGTTCGGTTGCAGCATGAGCGATCTCGTCTATTCCCTGACAGTCTAAAGATGAGAAATTGAAACAGCACACCAAGGATATCTTACTTTAAAATGATCAATACACTGTAATAGAATCTCCTTCGCCTTTTCGAGAGCGCCCAATAAGACTAGGACTTCAATCCAAAAGAATGCCCTAGGAGAGCAAAGTAGCTCTACTGCATAGTCTTGCAATTCTCGGTCGTTTTCCGCTTGTGAAATATGGTACATCCAATATAAACTACTACGCCGGAGACTCTCTGGAATCTTCGCCTCGACTACAGAGCTCAAATACGGGACGTCTTCATTTTTTAGATACAACGACTCCAGGCTGCATATATTGAACTTGAGCTGCATACGTAAGACATGAAAACATCCACGAGCCAAGTTCGTGTGGGCTACGCTTGGGTCAACCCAGAAGCAACCGGAAGAGCCTTGATTATCCACATAATCCTGGGCCATGTGTGTTGGAAAGGAAGTCTGAATTGTGCCATTGTCACCTGTGTACAGTAACGGTCGAATTGCAGCTAAGACAGTATTGAGAGCCTGGTGTAACCTCCAAGGTTACACACGTGACTTTAGATAAATATAAAAGGGCTATTTGTAGATTAATTAGATCTTATCTTTGTACTTGCTCCTATACTTAGGTCGACCTCTCATTAATCCCAGGTCTTTGCCTGTTCCGTGTTCTTTAGTGAGGCTCCAGCCTTTACACCTGGACTGTGAATTCGGGTTGATTGTCTTGCAGGCAAAATAGAATCATGTCTCCTGTTAACGGTCATTCTGGATCTGTGTGGATTATAAGTGAAAGTACAGCTCGAGTTGCAAGCATTGTCTTCTCATCACTAACCAGACTCTCTTGTTTCACCACAATAATTTCCATAGTAATGCGAAAAAGATTGTCAGCAGCAGCTTTCCCAGACATTGAGTCAAGAAAATCAACGTCCGCACCCGAATCCAAGGTCAGAAATGCTGTTCTAAACCTAGAAAGGAGCTGATGTGCTTTGAACTCATACAGGTCGACTCTGTCATTTGGGCAACTCTTATTGCCCAAACAAAAATTCACATACGCTGCTACATCGTACTCCAAGTCGACTAGGGGATTGCTGACGTCGATGTATTGAAATTCGCTGTCTCTGAAACAGTCTTCGAGCTCTGGCAGTTTTCCACTACTGACAAATACTTTAAGCCAAGGCGCCTCTACAGAAATTCTCCTGACAATCTTCGCCAGATATCTTCTCGAGTCTTCACTCGTGCAGCATTCGTCGAGTGCATCCAAGATTATGATTAATGGCATGTGTCCCGGAGGATGAATGGTCGCTTTAGCAATGGGTTGTTTCACGAGAAGATCGAATTGGTCTTGCAGCCCTCCGTGAAGGTAGAAAGTACCTCGGCCATCAAGAATATCTGCAATAATGGACCCATAGTCAACATTCCACACAGCAAATTGGCCTACAATGGTAGGCATGATCCGGATCGTTTTTGTCGCAGAAAAAGCAACCTGCAAGTCGGTTCTGTTCACGTAAACGTTGCGCAACTGTATGTGCGATGGTTGATTTTCCAGAACAAGCAGACCCACAGAGCCAAAAAAGTTTTGAGCTGGACGTCGACCAACCTTCTATCGCCTGCAGTGTGTTTTCCCTCGTTCCTTCAAAGCAGCCTTTCTCTTGCTTGCAGAAGGCCTCCATGCATGGCTGTAACTTTTCGAGAACGAGTGACTCAACACGCTTGTCTAAAATCGTAGTAGTATATAATTTCGAACATAATGTAAAAATCTTACCTATTTGTAAAACTGCTTCCCACACTTCGGTCTTGATGCACCAGTCGAATGTCTCCTTCAACCGTCTGAATTCCTCTTTGTAATTTTCAACGTCGTCGATCCGGTTCTTCAGGAAGATCCCTTGTTGAATAATTGTATCAGTATAAGGAAAAGTTAATATACTTGGTGAAATTACCTATTGTTGTATTATCTGAATACTCAATTATCATTCTTGAGATTTTCTCGAATAGTTTAAGGATTTTATAAGTGGTGTCATCGGAGTGATTAGACTTTGAACGATGGTTTGGAACATTGACGAAAGGGAGGAAGGATGCAACATCAGCCATCAAGTATGATGCTGCTTCATGGCACTCCTTTACTTCCTTGCATTTCTGAAATTAGTAGGTCAATACACGATTTCCGACAATAAATTTCTTGTCACCTCAAAAAGCACTGTTACTACCGAGACTACTATGCCAACGGCAGGATGTATCTGATAAAACTATGGTCGGGATTAGTCAATCAAAATGGAAGAAATCAAACCCTCACGTCAGATACAAATTCTGAAGCGTTTACAATGTAGTTCATGACCTCACATGCCTTTCCAAGATGTCCCATAAAAATTTTCATGTTTTTCATGCGCTCCTGAGATTCCTCAACAAGTTGACGTATCACAGCAATAAACTATAAAGAAATAACCAGTTAGTCATGGAGAGAGGTTCATTTATCGATAATTCCATACTGGTCCAGCTGTCCCAAAATGAATTCTCAAAGACGTATTCTTGCCAATCGGCTCTGTTGGGCACGGGATCAGATTGCACAGGGTAGGTAAACTGGAAGCTTTCTTACCATCGATGACGAGCATCGCTTTTACGAATAGATCATAAGTAATTGTGAGTGGGACTATGCATTCTTTGTCTGAATGAAGGTGACGATGTTCGCGGATAACGATAGCAAGCTGGGATGCAAGCATAGAGCATCTAGAGTAACCATCAATTGTCTCTTCCATTGACGCATAAGAAATCAGGACAGACAAGTCTACGTTCCAATCGATGGGTTCGTTCCGCTTATATTGGCGCGATCGACGTGCCCTTTCGTTGTCGGTCTTGATTTCGACTGTGACGGGATGTTTCCTCTGGACATCCTTGTAGTCGATTTGGATGCCTGCAGATAGACAGAATTCAGCACAGTGCAGAGATCAAGAGGCGTGGGAGCATTACTTCGAACGTGGACCGCCCTGCACGATCAATAGGAGTAAATAAAAGGAATGAGCGTCCACAGTGCACACAATGATTGTAGTGCTTACTGAGCGCAAGCACTGTTTACAAGTTCCTTCGAGGACCTTTTTTGAACGAGCGACATGGCAGACAGCTACGCTCCAAGGCCTCGGTCTGAGACGATGACGGGTGGAAGTAAGGCAACGGTGACTTGAGGAGGCATTGCGGCTGAAGGACTTCGATTGATGAATAATAGAGCATTTTTAGAAACGAAGACAGTCACAAAGATAGAATATAAGGAGGGCATTCCTCAATTTCTGGTATAGTGAACAGGAGAGACCGAACACTAGGGGTTACCAAATTTTCAACTTTCCGTTTTGGTATGGTAATGTACGGTATGATACCAGGTATGGTAAAAAGATTTGGTGATCGACACAACCAAATGCAGAACTCAGCACCAGTCCTCCTCTGCCTCTGATCTGTCGTGGCCGCGGTCACGCGATCGCTTTTTTTCTAACTACCACATCAGGCATTTCACAATTTCTTGCCTTAAAAAATAACTTACATAATGTTAAATATAATTCATAATTTAATTTACCATTTTTGGTTGATAGAAATTGTAAACAACATTTAAAAATTTCTTTAGACAAAAACTATAAATTAATTTTGGCATATCTTTATTTGTGAAATCTTGAAATAAATGAGAATAATTATTTAAAACATAATTTGAAGTTTCTTTTAAAACAAAATTATAAATTTTCTTTCAAATTTTAAGACAAAAAACATTTAGAATTTCATTTATAATATTAAATCTTATAAAATATTAAAAGAAATTTAAAATTTTACCTAGAGAAGAAATACTATAAAGAATTTAAAATTATTTTAGAGTAGACAATTAGTAGGCAAGTAATAGGCAAGTAATGAGTAAGTAATAAGTAAGTAATAGGCAAGTAATAGACAATTAGTAGGCAATCAACAGGCAATCAACAGGCAACTACCAAATGAAGACATTTTTGCTTCATTTGGTAGTTGCCTGTTGATTGCCTGTTGATTGTCTACTGATTACCCATTACTTACCCATTGCTTGCCCATTGCTTGCCCATTGCTTGCCTATTGCTTGCCCATTGCTTGCCCATTACTTGCCCATTACTTGCCCATTACTTGCCTATTGCTTGCCTATTGCTTGCCCACTGATTGCCCACTCTAAAATAATTTTAAATTCTTTATAGCATTTCTCTCTCAAGTAAAATTTTAAATTTATTTTAATATTTCATTCAATTTAATATTATAAAAGAAATTTCAAATTTTTCTTGTTACTAAACCTGAAAGAAAATTTATAATTTTGCTATAGGAAAAACTTTAAATTATGTTTTAAATTATTATCTCTATTTATTTAAAGATTTTACAAATAGGGAAATGTTAAAATTAATTTCTAGTTTTTGTATAATGAAAATTTTAAATTCTGTTCAGAGTTTCTGCCAACCAAAAATGGTAAACTAAATTACAAATAATGTTTATTATTATGTAAGTTATTTCTTAAGGTAAGAAATTGTGAAATGCCCCATGTGTACCCACATTGGGCATTTCACAATTACTTACTGTGAAAAATAACTTACATAATGTTAAACATTATTTGTAATTAAATTTACCATTTTTGATTGATAGAAATCATGAACAAAATTTCAAGTTTCTTCCATAATCAATACAAATACAGAAAAAACTTAAAATATTATTTTGAATTTCTACTAAACTGAAATGGTAAATTAAATTACAAATAATGTTTAACATTATGTAAGTTATTTTTTAAGATTAATCCACCACTTGCTCCGCGATTAATGTTCATTACTCTTTACTGTCAGATCTTAATGCTTCTATTGATATAGTCGCCCATGCTGAACGTTATGCCACGAACCCACCAGCCTGGCTGTCTCGGTTCCGTTTTTTCTTATAAGGCTGTCCATGGCAAAATGACGTGCATCAACCAGTTACACAGTCAAGAGAAATTTCAACGTTGCGCATCCCGACGCAACATCGATATTGATACAGATGGGTCTCGTCCTTTATATGAAAGATGACCTGAGAAAAGGCGTATGGTGTGCATGCGAAGACTGCACAACACTGTGGACGTTGTAAAAAGGGTGCACACCGTTATAGTGAGTAATTTTCTTTCTTGCCTTTGGTGTCACAGGACTGAAACCTTGTGGAATGGCAACAATAGTGAGACTGAACGATTGGTGTAATCGAGGCGCAACATTGCAGAACAACCTCAACGCTGATACGGACAGCTTTGCATGGTGTAAACAAAGTACCTAGACGAGTTCTAATCTATGTGCTCAATAAGGTCTCATGCATACTGCCCCGGCATCCGCCAAAGACCCTCTTCAGTGCAGGGCAACTTCGCGATACAGAGCTCAGGAACAATCGAAATGATCAACATTCTTGCGGTAATGCACTGGACCTCCATCTGGTCTGCACGCGTTTCGTTAAATCCAGTGGGCAGGAAGGGAGCCAAAGTAAAGCCGGCAGTATCCATTCGCATTCTTGCAGAACATGTCGTTGTCTGATAGGCACGAGCGTACGGCCGTTTTCAGACCGAAAAGGTACGTTTCGGTTCTCTCTTCCGGAAACATGCCTATTATGACAAGGCTATAACGGTTGGAAATCCAAATTATGAATTGTTTATTTGCCGTGCAACCCCGTCGATGTATATTCGCTTCTTTCACCTGATACCCCAAGTATCCGTTATATGAGCTATTATCACACTCCTAACATCCCAACACCCTCCATTTCGTCCCGCAATGAACTCGATTACACTTAACAACAAAGGGATCGAATTGTCTTACTCTGATAGCGGCGCCCCTGCCCAAGGCCCCTACACCACCGTTGTCGCAGTGCATGGAATGGGATTCACATATGGTACGTTAGCTTGAATTGCCACACTTCTTGGCGGCTGATAGTCAAGTTGTCCAGCTATTTTCACAAAGGTACAGGCCATTGCACCCAGAGCTAACTTTCGCTTCATTGCGGTCGTAAGACGTGGATATGAGGGCTCTACTCCATTCTCCGAGGCAGATACCGCTGCCACAACCTCCGGAACAGACGAGGAAAAGCTGGATTTCCTTAATGCGCGGGGCATCGAGTTCGCCATTTCTATCGATAAACTCGTTCAGCAACTAGATCTTCTACAGATAACTGAGGATGGAAAGAGCGGAGGAGTCGCTCTTCTCGGATGGTCTGCTGGTACCATGGTGACTCTTGCTTCCATTGCCAATCTAGGCAAGCTTTCCCCTGCGTCAAAGACGCGGTTTGCAGCTTATGTCCGGGCTCACATTATGGAAGGTCAGTCGTTCAGATTTCTTCTTGATTTTGGGTTTAAAAGATGTATCATCAGAACCTCCGTCCGTGTGCCTTGGGCTACCGATTCCACCCCGAATTTGGTCGCCACTTATTGACACGAGTATCCCTGAAAGCGAACGAACGCCGTTCCATATGAGCTGGATCACGTCTTACTTTGATCATGGCGATCTGTCCAGTCATGATATCGACGCTATCTCCTATGCCGCTCCTAGTATGCATCATGCACCTTCAATTTACAACATGTCGACGGAGGACACGGAAGAACTATTTGTGGCAGACGTGGTTGGGCCGGAGACTAACGCTATGATCGCGACCTACGCACAGAATAACGTTGTTTATCGCAAGGCATGCTATGAACCCGCCATCCAAGAACTATTACCGATGATGAACACGTCGGTTTTGGTCGGTAGTTCTACATCCTCATTCTGCATGAACGGGCTCTTGTCTCTCCAAAATGATAATGACGTGAATCAAGGAGGGCTCCACTTCGAAACTGTTCCTGGGTTAAATCACTTCGTGAGTGGATCTTGCATAATTTCTCACTGCTGCTATTTCATTTGGCTTCCCTATGTTTTCTAGATGCAATGGGACGAACCGGAGAAAACGTTCCGAATATTCATGAAATTGGCATTGCTCTAGATTGTAGAATTTGAGTATCTAAAAATGATCATTAACATAAATAGGGTCGGGTAACGCTACAGGAGTTGATCCTCCCGTTCGAGTGTGATGTATTTAAATTTGTAGACGCGATTTTCTTTTCTCACCAATTAACTGCCCTGTCAAGCTTTCCGACGTCGCCGTTGGCTCCGCCTCCGAACAACTTTAGGCGCGCACGTTTCTATTGTATTCCGCCTTTGATGAAATGCATTTCGGAATATCGGGTATATCGGTCTAGTGTTGTTCTCACTTTGACCAGATTGGCGCCCTTCCAAGAATATCTACACCGTCTACAAACGTTCGTTCATGATCGAAGTTACACTATTGTCTCGGCTTTACGAAGTTCATTCTCGAGGGCCATAATGCGGGCAAACGGCTTCCCAAAACTCTAAAACAAGCGCGTGTGGTGCGTTGGTTTACTCCCTCGGAACGTGTATTGATGGAAGAGTGTATACGCATGCTACCATTTATTAAAAACTAAAATTACAGCGTATGCGAGACGCAGTGATAAAAAAGGAATGCTCGTGAACAGAGTGAGGAGACTAGAAAGAAAAGAACAAGGAAATTACTAAAAGGGTTGCTGGGACGAAAACCTTCGTGTGAAAAACCCAGTGGGAAAAAATCACACGTAAGGGAAAACCATGCAAGTTAGAAGGTGAAAAGGTGTTGCACATTGTGGTGCAGAAAGGGAATGCAGAGTGTCTTATCTGTACAAAAAAGAGGAGAGAAGCCCCACTCATGAACGCTCACTCTAGCGCTTGCTTCTCCTTAAAGGCGATAAGTAGCAAAAGGCCAAAGGAATGTCATACTTGGAAAGAAAAGATAGGGCATGCTAATTGTACACAGTGTAACAAGGTAGGTGATGCCATGGTTTCTATTACAAATTTACTAGTTGGTTAGTTGCAACGTTGCTTGATCTACCATGCCTTTCGGATGGATCTTGTGATGAATTAAGTCTCAAAATTAACATGGGCAGCAAGGAACCCTCTTCGAATGGCACAAAGATCACATAAACAAACTCTTCGTATCTAGTAGTATCTACGCGCGTTTTCAGACCACCAGGAATGAGGTTGAGCAATATTAAAGCACTTTATAATTAACCTCAATGGAAGTACTCACGCAGTCGTACTTTTTCTCTTGACAATCGCGTTTCTTTTCTGACTTGCATCCGCTGTAATTAGTTTTTTTGACATTAATGGTAACTCGAAAAGGCAAAGAAGACAAAGAAGATTACACGTTACTTAAGTTCCAGGGTCATGCGTGTTGTACGGCGCAGTCGTTATCATAATATCAAAGAGTAGAAAGCCGAAAAGTGTCTTGACGCCAAGTCATGCATGCGCTTTATACGTATCCATTTCAAACAAAGACCACTGTTTCCCTTGGGCCTTGGTTACCAAATTGACTTATTGATAGAGCACGCCTTTCGGTTATCAATTATTAGTTAAGCCTGATATATATGGAATCAAAAGAACCCTTCCGACACGAGTCACGACAGCCTTTACTTACATCCTCACTGCCACAACCGCTCTTCGTTCTTTCATTTGTTTGGCAAACAAGGTAGCCATCGTGTTCGGCATTCTAATTGGAAAACCATCATCAAGTGTGTTAAAGGGTTGCTGGATCTAGAAAACAACGAGGGGCGGCGTTCTCAAAGTGTAATAGTATCACCGTAACCCTACGTTCTCAAAGTAGATCCCTCCTAGCATCGCTTTCCTCGAGCCCCTATATATACATGTATATACTTTCATTTACGGATGTCTCCTGCTCCTTCACACTTTGTCGAACACATCAACTGTCCTACAGTTAAGCGAAATGGTTGCACCAAGCACATCATCAGGTATTCCGAACCAGATAGCTGGTGCTACTGGCGGTGCTGGCGTCAATACCGCTGGACCTGCAGTCGACATCTCTTCGCAGCCGTACGCAAAGCGGGTACAAGCACTCATAAAACTTATAACTGATCTCCGAGCTCTTGGGTAAGCTGTTTTATGTTTCTAATAGTTGAGCACTTCACTAATGGCCAATGCCACTCTAATGACAGTGCTCAAGCGGATGTCGATTTGCCACGTATTGCTGTCATAGGGAATCAATCTGCTGGTACGTACAAACCTTCCAGGGGTTGATTCGGAATTATGAATTGGGCCCTCACTGCATTTGTTTTGATTCGAAAGGCAAGAGTTCACTTGTTGAGGCAATGACCAAGGTGTGCATCTGCAACGGAGAAACCTAATTTCATTAGGTGGCGCAACTTATTTTCAATTAAATGATTGTATAGATAACTGTTCCTCGCTCTCAAGGAACCTGCACAAGGTCAGTCTTATTAGTTTGTACTATGCATGGTAGGATTAAAGCGTTTCTTCGGGATCTCCACCCTTCCACAGATGTCCCATGGAGTGTCGGTTGTCGAACTCATCTGAGCCCTTTAAATGCCAAATATCTCTTCGCATTGAAGAGGATGAGTTTGGTATGCGTGTCGATAAAGTTAAGGAAACGAAATTTGGTACCGTTCTGCATGACAAAAGGTGTGTCGTATCTGTCTTAGGAGGCAACAAACTTGACAGCCGTTCTATTTAGTCAACTGGAGGTCATGTTGCGTAGAGCGCAACTTGCAATTCTTAATCCCAGCGTATCGAAAGAGAAATTCGTCGACCTCAACATTGAAGCCCTGGATCCTGATGAACCTCCTTTGGATTCTACACGTCAGCTGCAGTTCTCTGCGAATGTTGTATGCTTGGACATCTCCAGTCCGGATGTCACAAACTTGTCGTTTATAGATCTTCCAGGTTTCTGCTTTCCCGTCTTTCAACATCGCGTTTCTAGTACTAACAACGTTACGAATTAGGAATTATCTCTAACGTTGCAGACGGCGAAGACCCTAGAAGTATCGATCTAATTCAAAACCTTGTTAGAGACAACATCTCTGGAAATGCACTTATTCTTCTTGCAATAACAATGCGAGGTAATTATAAAATTTGTAATACTTGCATATCTTTTTAATTCATTGTCTACACGTACAGATGATATTCAGAACCAAAAGGCTGCCCTTCTTGCTAAAGAAGCAGACCCAAATGGTGAGCGCACGATTGGTAAGTTGCTTCAAATCCCTCTTTCAATCCTTTTCTCTTTTGACGTTATAAAAATTATAGGTGTGCTCACAAAGCCCGATACACTACAGAATGGAGAATATGATCAATGGCTTGATGTTCTCACAGGCAGAAAGCATCAACTTACTCACGGGTACTATGTGACGAAGCAGGCAAGCCCTCTCGAATTGCAGGAGCGGCCGACATACGAAGAGGGTAGGGAGCGCGAAAGGACATTTTTTGCTACACAGTCACCGTGGCGCGACCAGGCTCCCAGGGTGCGTGAGCGCTTGGGAGTCCCAAATCTAACAATGCGGCTCAGCACTCTCCTGAGCCAACTGATCGAAAAAACGTATGTCATTTGACCAAAGATCGTGAATCATGGTCTACTAAATCTTAAATGTTCGGCATACTTCCGCTTTTCTTTCTTGGTTCAGAATTCCAAAACTCAAGATAGATTCACGTTCATCGCTAAACTTAACATTGAAGGAACTAAACAACCTTCCCCCGCCTCCGTCTGCAGACCCTACGTCAGAACTCCTAAAGTTGGTTGTGGAGTTTAATTCAAATTTGCACAGTCACGTCCGAGGTCTCTCTGGAGATATTATTCAGAGAATTCGTCCGGCGTACGAGTCATTTATGAAAGATACACTTTCTACAAAACCGAACTTCGTACCATTCCTCGAGATAGAACAAACTAAGGACACCTTCGACTGTTTGAGTCCTTCGAAAACAACGTCCCCTGTCCTGTCGAAGGCAGCGTCTAACGCCAAATCGAATTCAAGCAAAAATGCAAGCACATCTGCAACGTACAAGTCCGGCCTACCCTCCGAACCTACCACCCAAGACGACAGTGAGTTCGACGTTGATTCCGTGCAAGAAGCCGTATATCTCGATGATGTACGAAACCGTATTCATGAGTGAGTACCCGGTTTCGCATGTTCATCACACTGGATCTCACTCTCTTTACAAAACGAAGCTCTAAATCGCGTGAACTACCCTTCAACGTGCCCTACAAAGTGAAAGTGGGATATATCACTGAATGTGTCACTGACTGGAAATTTCATGCGCGAACTTGTTTCGAGAAGGTTTTTCATGTATATCAAGAGTACTTGGAACACCTTGTATCCAAGCAATTCGGAGGATACTCAAGCGGTGGACTTCATGAACGTGTTAGGTGTTGTGATACAAAATTCAGTTGGTCGGGGTGAAACTAATCCATGACCATCTTCTACCCAGGAGCATAGTCGAGGACGAACTAGAGCGCACAAAGGCAATTACACTTGCACGAATTGACTGGCTTCTTGAACTGGAAGAAGACCCATTCACTCTAAACGAGCATTACCTATCTAGCTGTCGGGACAAGTATCTCAAACAGTACTACGAGCAGCGTCAGGTACTTGTTGAGCATATCTTGACTGATTCTATACTGAAGCGTTGGATGACAGGCAGAAAAGGGGAATTCTAGCGCAGATTCCGAACAGATACAAAGCATTCTGGCAGGCCTTGCAAGAATTGGCAAGCATTGTCGTGCAGAAGATCTCGCAAGATTAAATGGACCCGATGAGTATGAGCAAGAGCTCGAGATGATGGCCGAAGTCACTGCATATTTTCGTGTTGCATATAAGGTACGCCACCGCAACTGGGAGCAGCCAAAACACTAGTTTGCTGAATCTCACTTACACCTCAAATCAGCGTATAATAGACAACTTGCCACGGGTAATTGATGTCGACTTCTTGAAAGGCCTTCAGAAATGCATGCATGAAGCTTTGATTAGGGGATTGCGGATGAGCGAAGAAGACAGCAAAGAGACAGCGGGTCGTCTTCTCAGTGAGGACCCAAATATCACATTGCGACGCGCCGGTCTCGAACAGGTCAAGGAGCGGCTTGAAGGAATTTGCACAAAGTTAAGCAATTTCGCAATGCTGGGGCAGTACTAGTGCAAGGACCGGAATTAATCTCTGTGCATTGGGTTTTTTATTCCTATGAATTCCTCAGCAAAGCCACATAGATAGCAACTGACTACCTAGACATTTTCTGTGATGAACTAGTAGATAGATGGACACTATTGAAGATATACAGTTAGACTTAAGTGTCGTATCGAGGATTGAGAATATGCATTAATGTCAAGTTCTGATTACAAGTTGTTTATTTAGAGCCGTATGTTGTGCGTTGCACATTGTGGAAGAAAGGCAATCAGTATAGGTCAGTACTCCGGAAGTATATTAAAGGCAGATGCTGAGGAAGAAAAAGATTGCATGCCAATATCCATCCTGGAAGTAATGTTGTACAATACAATCTTCATAATATAAGTGGCATTGTGACAGTAGACTACAACAGGCAAATCATAACATTTTGTTTCCCAAAAGTATTGCATAAAATAATCAAATGAAGGAGTTTGATATTCGGAGACTGCTATCAAGCACCCGTATCACTGTAACTGGGATCCGGCACGGCAACAATACTGGACCAGTATGTTGCGCCACCCGATAATCTCTCAATGTTGGACAGTTTCCATCCGGAAACTCTGAAAATGTCTAGGAATTCCTGAACTGTGCGGCCACCAGCGTTATGGCAAATCATTACCTACAAAAAATCGTGAATCTACAACAAAGCAAAACATGGGACGAGGAGCCACCTACAAGAAAGTCGATCGAGTACGAAAGCACGTTTGCTTCTCCCAAGTTCGAGAGTAAAGGAGCCGGGGGTTTTTGCAAAAAATAGGCACCAGGGCCAGTACTGGCCTGACATGCATATTCCGGAATGCTCTCCAGGACAACGAGTCTGGTCTTATCAAGAATGGCAGCGCTGCGCAAGTGCTTCAGAATACTTATGGCATATCTGTCAGGCCAGTCGTGTAAAATCCACCGCAGCAGAAGTACATTAGGCGGCGCGGGAAGTGCTGGTTGTCGCTTAAGGAAATTCACATCTGTTGTAGAGAATTTGAGTCTGAATTCGAGAGGCATGGGCGACGAAGTTGTACCAAAAAAATGGACCTTCCCCATTGAAACATAAGATGGAAGATTCTCCTTCCAATACTGATGACAGAGATATAACACTTATTAATCACTCTTTGATTCTTTTTGTTACAATTACTTACATTCTTTGCTTGCTCAATCACAGATTTACGATCCTCGAGGACAACGGTTATATTCGGGTATTTCTTGGCGACTTCTAGACTGACGTGTCCGGTGCCACTTCCAACGTCGACAAGGACTCCGTTCTGTACTTCCTCCCAATTAAAAGCTAACGATTATATCTAAGAAGTCTCATACTAATGTGATATTTTCTCGTTCAGACTTACCAGACAAGATCGTCTCTGGACGCATGTTGGTACCATTAGACATAAATATGTTGAACCTGTCGCGACGGTAGTGATGCTCAGGCAACTCGTATATGTCCCACATGGGTAATTTAACTTTCATAGCCCTTTGGAAGCCACTCTCATCCAGCTCCTCCGATTGTGCCGTCATCGGGTCGAGCATAGCTTCTCTGAAACCATGCGCGGCCAGAAATATCTCATCCGCTCTAATTTGTTTTATCATGTATCATCCGAAGCCACAGAAGTTCAACGCAATACGTACCCGTATCCTGCAACGGCTGCGAAACCTGGTGTATTGATATGCTTGGTCTCATTGCTGCGGAGGCACGATTCAGATGTGAGGCATGTAGAGTGTGCACCATCACCTACAAGTTCTCAGTCAAAGGCTTCCCTGTATCAAGCAACGATGACAACAAGTTGTGTGCAAACGTCTTCTCCTTAACCTCCTGGAAATAATGGTTCGTCGCTAACACTCTCATAACGCGATCTGAAAAAACAAAGTAAGAAACAACAAGCCTTTTTGCTCCAAGTCTTCGCTTACCCAGCTTCCTTGGGTGTGTTCCACTCCTCTTAGCTATCTCGTCTACGTGCATGCCCTTCGGATTGAAATACGTCATCCAGAGAACCTACTCTTATGCTATAGATTCGCATACCTCGGGACCTGCATCCCGAAGGATCTCAGCAACGTTTGCATTCTCCGCGATACCAAGACAAGCAGGCAATACAAACTTTGTCAACGTCGTGATACATTCTTGGAGGGAAGAGGTTAGTTTAAAATCACAAACCTTGAATGCGGTGTTCCATAAGTGGACAGAGGGCGGGCGCAGAGTCGCGATGAGCTGAGATGCAGCCGCGACTGCAAGATGTATGCTATCTGCAACCGTTGGATTATTGCGTATGCTCTCAGAGGAAAACTCCGATGGATGAGCTGGTTTGTCAAGCGGCGGAAATTCTTTCCCTGTCTCCTTGCATATTCCGACAATACGGTCGACGGAGGACACAATGATGTCGCGGAGAGATTCGAGGTCTGTTGTCATATTGTGAATGTGTAGAGTCTTGTAGTTCTTCCAATTAAAATTGACTGAGGTACGCGTTTATATATTGCACATACTCATCACTTGTCATATTGGCATGATAACTACTCTGCACTTACATCATTCGTACGACCTTCGACGTGATAACCTCCAGCGCCGGGAAGCCAGCCTTTTGCATATGAACGAAGCTCGCTAAGTGATAAAGGGAAACCTTCTCCAATTGACTCCGCAAGGATGTACTATTCAAGTACATCGGCTAACCACATGTTTACCTTGCAATAGAAAATCGGACAAATCCTTGGAACGAATGGTACTGTAGAATTAATTATTAGGATGAAGGTTTTACTGTGCATCTGACCGAACATACCACCGTTAGTCTTACGACTGACTCTAGTCCGGTTGTTCCGGAAGCGTGCAGTTAAGTCGGCCTACGAGTGAATGTATCTATCAATTACCTTCCAATCAAAAGGAAGCAAGATTGGGCAGGACAACAGTGGCTATAGGCGTCACCATCAAAAGAAAAAGAATGTAGTGTCAAAAAATGTAGGGTTTGGGCGTAGAGTTCGGGAATTGTCTTCTCTTGAAACACTTCAAAAGTCCACGACAATTGCATTTCGTCTAAGTTCGTCCCGACAACCGCCCACGACCGAGGCATTGACGAGCGTTGTCTGGCTTCTCTTCACTTTCGTCTCCAGGGTACCAATGAGCATCAGAGGCGGATTCCACCAGCTCCTTTATTCTCGTAGGTCTTTTTGGTGAGCTCTCTTATCCGAAGTCCACGACACAATTTCCATTCCCACGCATCATGAACCGTCCAAAGACGTGCATTCATGGTCATACCGTAGTATTGCAACATGACCTGAGCCGTCATTATCAAGGTGGTACGCGGGTGGAGTATGCGTGATGAATACAACTGCTTGTACTGGGGTTGAAGGCAACTGTATACGTGTCTCGCGGCGGATTGTACACGTGAATATGGAACGGCCAAGACCCGTGTTTCGAAGTGTATCGACTGCCGTAGATGTTCAAGGTACCGCCTCGAACGAGTATAATCATCTCGGCGTTATCCTAATAATTTAGATCAGAACATACTTCCCGTATGTGCGCAACGATAGCAGAGTCGACGAGGCAGGCGTCGTGATTGTCAGCAATGAAAACTGTACGCATGGGGTTGGGCGTTCAGTAATGTTAACACGTCCTCCAGTTCGTCGAGGCTGCGAGACTGAGTCAGGTCTCCAGCTTGAATGAGAATATTGCTATGAGGAAGAGGAACGATTGAATCGTGGTCATCACTGTGAGACAGTGTGCACGTGAGTGTGACAAGCTGTGGTCACGTGATTACAGACACTGGAACAACACACATGGGGCATTTCACAATTCCTTACCTTAAAAAATAACTTACATAATGATAAACATTATTTGAAATTTATTTTCTCATTTTTGACTAGTAAAAAT